CCAATGATTAAAGGATAGTTATGACACGCGCCAAATGTTGCGGTTAGAAGGTTAGGAAAACTTACCCGTTTGAAACCTTTCTGTTTTGCCCCTCCTTTTTAACTTACTCTGCAACATGCCAACACTCTACCTCCACCAACACTCAGCCCCATGCAAATATCATCATCCATCTTCCCCACCTTACCCTGTGGGTCTCTCCTCCCACTCCTCCCAACTCCTTTCTCCTAAACCCTAATCCGATCCCCACCAACTGAACTTCTCCAAATTGCGCCTTACGTCTCACTTCATTGCTCCAGTAATCCAGAGTAGCTTGCTTGGTGGGGTTGAATTCATCAATGATGGCTGGAGATGGGGTTGCGGCGGCGGCGACGGCGGCGGAGGTTCAAGTGGAGACGGCTTTGTCGTTGAAGAAGAAGACGGCGGTTTCGAGGAGCTGGATTGCGATTGACCACAGTGGTCAGGGTGTGATTCTTGACGTGGATAAGTATGCTATTATGCGCCGCGTTCAGATTCATGCTAGAGATCTTCGGATTCTGGATCCTCTGTTGTCGTACCCTTCTACGATTTTGGGCAGAGAAAGGGTCATCGTTCTCAATTTGGAGGTGATTATATCAATTTTACATGGATACATGTTTTATTTTGTGTCATTAATGTTGGTTTCATTAATTATTCGCGTGGCTGATTTGGTTTTATTCTGTTTCTTCTTCGATTTCCTCACTTTGGACGGTTTGATTCTCAGCATATCAAAGCAATAATCACAGCAGAGGAGGTAAGTTTTGCATTTGTTTGGCTTATGGGTAGATTTAACTTTAGAACAATTTGAATGAAACTGAACATTTCAGTCCATTTTCAAAACTCTACCTTGTTTTTGAAGTAAATGGGAATTGTATTATTAAAAATTTTTTGTTATCTTGACATTTTTTGATTAAAAATCAATGGTCTTTTGATTGAATTGAAGTGGGGTGGGGATTTTGAAGGTAAGTGGTGCTTAATTTTGGTAATTTTGGTTTAGGTATTGCTTAGAGATCCACTGGATGATGGCGTAATCCCCATAGTTGAAGAACTACAAAGAAGATTGCCACAGGACAATCTCATGGGCCAAGGCCAAGGAGAAGAAGATGAGAAGCCGGTTCTTCGAGAAGAAGATGAGAAGCCGGGTCTTCGAAATGATGTTGAGACAGATGAAGAAAATGGTAAAACATGAATATTTGAATGATTCTCTTTTGGGAGATTACTGGAAAAGTTAGAATTCATGTCGTTATCAAGCAGTTATTATATTATACTTTATACTAAGTTGTGATTATATCAATCAATCTGGTTTGTTGCTGCTCTGCCTACTACACTTACATACTACACCTTTTGCTGTTCCATGGTGTTTTGGTTTATACAATGCAGAATTTCCCTTCGAATTCCGGGCATTAGAAGTTGTGTTAGAAGCAGTTTGTAGCTTTCTTGATGCTCGTACCAGAGATCTGGAGGTTGATACTTATCCAGCTTTAGATGAACTGACTTCCAAGGTAAATTCTGATCAATTTGCTGGTTTTTCTTAATCCATTTAGTTGAATTGAGTTTAATTCATTGCTTGGATGATTGTGTGTCCACAATTCCCATAATTGCTTTCATTGAAGTTAAGATTGAATTCGTCATTAAAGTTAGGTCCTAGAGCACTGCATATTTGCTATATCAGCACAAGCGAATTTCTTATTATCCAGAGTGAGTATGTTGGCAAAAAAAAAAAAAAAACTATCCAGAGAATATGGATAACTTTATTTTTCTCTATTGGATTGTCAAACAAGTTCAGTTACATCCAACAAATGAAGCTATATGCAGATTAGCAGCCGTAACTTAGATCGTGTGCGTAAATTGAAAAGTGCAATGACAAGGCTGACAAATCGGGTTCAGAAGGTATGTTTGTAGCTTTATGAAATCTTTAACCGAAGCATTTTTTGTGAAATTCTGTAATCTCGTAGTGACTAATGAGTAAGCCACTAAGTCCTCACTTTCTGATTTCTGTTGATTATGCTTTCGGCTTGTAGTTAGAATTTTATTTACTTAGACCTTAAAATTCCTGCAGGAACTTTAAACGTAGCATGCAGACAATGACATGCATTAGATTTTCTATTTTTGGTGGGATGGGGAAATGAAATTATAAAAAACTTTGAATAGGCTGCAATACCTGCCTCTTGTGGCTGCAGGATGATTTTCAAAATGCTGATTCATGTATTTTGATCATGGCAATTTCCTAGGTGAACAAGTTGATATAAAACTGACCTGTTTGTTAAATGCTATACCAAGTTAGTTTTCTCCAAAATAAAGGTTATTTTTCTTGGAATTTGTAAATGTGCAATACAAGTTAGAGCATAATTAAGTTTCTGAATTCTTTGGGGTAAAGGTCTGAAGATAGCCATAAGCAAACTGTTTCTTTAATGACTGCAGACTTGATTCTTAGAATTCTGATTTCTAGGTAAGGGACGAGCTTGAACAACTGTTGGATGACGATGATGATATGGCAGACCTTTACTTGTCAAGAAAGTTGGCAGGGGCATCTTCACCTCATAGCAGCTCTGGTGCTCCAAATTGGTATCTTCAATCTCCCACTATAGGTTCAAAGATTGCAAGAACAAGCAGGGCAAGTGCAATGACAGTTCAAGGGGAGAATGATGTTGAGGAACTTGAAATGTTGCTTGAGGTTATATGTCATCCAAATCCAATTGTCATGATTTTTATGTTAGTCAGTGCAGAAGTGTAAGTTGAGTACTGGATTTTGCAGGCTTACTTTATGCAAATAGAGGGCACACTAAACAAATTAACCACGGTATGCTCCTGCAATTTGATAGTAAGGATATTGACTTCTGTTCTAATTTACGGATGGATTCTTATTGCTTAATTATCCTCTCTTACCAGCTTCGCGAATACATTGATGACACAGAGGATTACATTAATATCCAGGTGGGTGATCAACTTGTGAGTTGTGAATATCATTTTGCAAACTGGCAAAATTTAGGTGGAAAAATTGCTGAAGGTGGCCTTGATGGTTTGGGGATATCTCTCAGAGTACATTTCCTCTTACCATGACAACGGGAAGTTTCCTTAGGTTTAGAAGAATAGGGTTCCTATAAGGCAATTTAACACCTTTGTTTACATGCAATACTAAATAATGTATATATGGTCTAATCCATATCCTCTTTGCAGCTTGACAATCATCGAAATCAGCTGATCCAGGTGCTTCTCTAAAACTAGTCTTAAACTTGTTGATTACGTCTTTTCTTTGATTGAACTTCTTTAAAAGTTTTATAGTGTTGAATTCCTATTAAAACAGTCAATTTGCATCATAATTAATGGATCAATTACACTCTCTTTGACAGTTAGAGCTGTTCCTCTGTTCTGGGACTGTTAGTTTATCCGTATATTCTTTGGTGGCTGCAATATTTGGGATGAATATTCCTTATACATGGAAAGAACACCATGGATATGTTTTTAAATGGGTATGTATAGATGGTAAATGATCTTAATAACAAAATAAACTTTCGTCAGCTATAAATTTTCAATAATGGGGTTTGCTCAAATTCTTCTATTACCCTTGATGACTTCTTTTAGTTTCCTTTTTCTTCTTTGTTTCTATACTAATACATGCTTTGAACTTAGGTGGTCATTGTTACCGGCATAATATGTGCTTCTCTTTTCATGTCAATAATTTCCTATGCACGGCAGAAAGGTCTTGTTGGGTCTTGATACACGTGATATATAGAGCCAATCTGAGAGAGTGTGACTACTAATCTAGCTCAAGCTGTGATTTGCTTGCTCCTATGGCCTTGGAGAGATGGTGTACATCAAAACCTGGTACTCTTGCTTGGTGCAGCCTGGTTTTGATATTATCATCCAACTGTCCACATTTGGTGAATCATCTCTGGCATGCTGCACTATTATCATGTTGTGTGCACAATGTTTTCCCCATGGGGTCCTCCCATTGTAATTAGGCATAGAATGTGGCGGAAAAATTTACAGAATTAGTCACGATTATGTTTGTATGAATCTTGAGAAGTAGGAAACAAATTGCCTTGCCTACTTTGATGCAACTCTGAGCATATGATATTGGGGAAAAGGAATCATGTTGATGCCATGGTTTTCGTTTTTATGAATATGACCATCTTGATCTTGCATGACTTATGTGGTGAGATATGTTATAAAGAAACCATGGAAATACAAATCGTACGGTAAAACAAACATAACAAATAGAAGACATCTTTAACTAGCATAATACATATGGTTTGCAAATTCCTTTATACCAATCAACCAATCAACCAATCAAGATGATATTTCCTTTTTCCATTTTTATGGAAAGGAATTTAATCATAAAGAATCAAAGACAGTATTATAAGTTCTGTATTCTGTCATCCAACAGAAAAACCATGGAAATGCATATGGTACAATAAAACAGAAATAACAAGAAGAGAAACACACAACAGCTGCGAACGCAAGTATAGCTTGTTTAAGAAAAAGAAGCATGTTTTCACCAACAACAGAAGCAAATCTCTCAGCAAATCTCTCAGCAAATCTCTCGGCAAATTACCGCTGGCGCACCCTTGCACCTACAAAACAAACGCAAATATTAGTACATGTGATTTGGAGGACAAGTAGCCTTTCCTTCCCCCTCAAATTAATAGAAGAAAGAAACAACAGATTGAGTGCTTACGGACTGCTTGAAAATGTGCTCGGATTTTATTCAGAAGTTGAATTCTCTTCCTAACAAATCTGGCATTTGTCCTCGGAGCTGGGTTTAAGGCATTAATAACAGCATGTTCACGCACACTATCCACACCATCTTCCCAAGTACCTACCTCCAAGTCATTGAGATGTGCCTTACTGTGCAGGTTCGCCCGGCTGGCTTCATTAGCATCAATCTCATCTCCAACCACTATCAGCATCAGAACACGAAGGTCGTCCAAGTTTTCTAAATCCCCCAAGCAAAATTCTTCATTGTCATTACGATCACATCTAAGCACAATCCCCTTTAACTCCCTCAGAGAAGTCAATCTCCCAATTCCTTTGGGATAGCAAGTCATACAACACTCAGTTGTATCAAGATACCTTAAGCTGATCAATTTCTCCATCTTATCTGGTAATTTCTCCAGATAATAACATCTTCTTAGATATAAAGATTGCAAATTACATAATTTGCACATTGCTTCAGGTAATCTCTTCAACTTACTATCAGACAAGTCAATCAGTCTCAGATGCATCAACTTGCCTATTTCTTTAGGAAATCTACCAATATTACCAGTGCCACCATGGAAATTCAGTAAACGCAAATGTTTTGCTTGAATAAGCAAGTTACTCAAATACTGAGCAGTTTCTTCTTCTTCTTCATCATCAACCTTGAAGATGTTCAGGCTATGCAATTTTGCTGCACCAAGAATGGAAATAGGGAAACGTGTATTAGCTGCCAGTGTTACTGACAGATGGCGAGTTTCCTCTGGAGAAAGCTGCACAGTGAGATTATCAGCAGTATGGAGCTCTTTAAACTCAAGTTCTTTTCCCATCAGGTGTCTGGCGAAGTCCACTACTATGTCATGGATCTTACATGTTATGCTGCCATCCTCCTGTTTTTCAAGATCTTGAAAGAAAGATCGTGCCACCAGGCACTGAAAGTACCCAACCCCAATAATTTCCATATTTTCACTAGAGCTCAAATAACCTTGTGACATCCACTGATGAATCAGGTCATCTTTTTTTATCTCAAAATCTTTAGGAAAGATAGAGCAATACAAAAAGCATTGTTTTTCTGCTGAGGGTAAATCATAATAACTCAACAGCAAAGCAGCAAACACTTCTCCCAAACCTAAATTCCATACCTCACTGTTCAAGATATCTCCCCATTCTTCTATTGTTTCCCTAAAACGCAGCATGCTTCCTAGAGCTTTTGCCGCCAGTGGCAGTCCACGACATTTCTCTGCAATTTTCCTTCCCATGTCCTCCAAACTTTTACATTGTTCCTCAGTTCTTCCAACAAAAGCTTCTTGGCTAAGTATTTTCCAACAATCCTCTTTATTCAACTGCTTTAGATTAAAGACACAAAAGGATTTCATGGTCCCTACAACTGTCTCCTTCCGAGTGGTGACCAAAATCCTACTTTCAGGTGCTGCATGTTTGAAAGCTTCATTCAGTGATTCCCAGCTTCTACTTGTATCTGTCCACACATCATCCAGAACAAGAAGAACTTTCTTCCTCTGAATAGATTTGCAAATTTTCTCCACAAGAATTTGCAGTGAAACAGAATCAAGATCTCGAGCTGAAACATGATCGAGACTTTCAAGAGAAACAATAATTTCCTTGGCAACCCTGTTCCCATCAAAAACTTCTGATACGCAAACCCATATTCTGCGATCAAAATGCTCCATAACTTCACCATCACTGAAAACCAGCTGGGCAAGGGCTGTTTTACCCACACCACCCATGCCTAGAACAAAGATGGTTTTGGCATCACTCTCTCCTGGCCCCCGATCACTACTACCACACAACAAACTGCTTACTAAGTCTTTCCTATCCTTATCTCGACCATGGAGCTTTGACAGCTCAGTATAACTTGTAGTTTCTTCTCTTCTAGACTGCGTATCTTCCCTATATGCAAATCCATACTTGTTTTTCTCCTCATCAATTTCACTTAATCTCTCACTAATGTCCTTTATTTTCAGAGCAGAGCCACGATGTTGAACAACTTGACCAAGAGAGAAACATGGATTGAAGGGACGACATACCTTTCCCTTGAGAGGAAAAAAGCTGTTCTGATCTGCTTCATCTTTCTGCAACATCAGGGATGCAGTATTCCACTCGTCCAACACATCCTCCATGTCATAACATGCTTGTTTGAGCTTGTATAGCCAAAGCTTGATGCTTTCCTCCTTGATCTGCTTTTCCTCAGCATCACCAAGCAAAGCACGGATGGAATTGAGTCTGCTTTTGAGCTTATTGAGTTCTTTTCC